TTGGCTGCAGCGCCTGGCGTGTCTGGACTCGAACAGAATGAAGCACTGGAGATCCTCCACTCTGAAGGGTTGAAGGCACCTCAGCTTAGAAAATGGAGGAGAACACGGGTCCAGGAGGCCTTTGCAATGGGCTGGAAGGGGGAGGAGGAGGAGGAGGAGGAGGAGATGGAGATGGAGATGGAGATGGAGATGGAGATGGAGATGGAGATGGAGATGGAGATGGAGATGGAGATGGAGATGGAGATGGAGATGGAGATGGAGATGGAGATGGAGATGGAGATGGAGATGGAGATGGAGATGGAGATGGAGATGGAGATGGAGATGGAGATGGAGATCATCTGTTTCTGCACTCAGGAAGTGGTGGGGAGCCCTTACCGACAATGGGTCAAGCAGAAGGCAAAGATCTGCCCTTAGCCTGGCCCTGGGTTTCGTTTCAATCCATGGTAATCTGTTCCCTAAAGCTTTGGATGACCTCTTCACGAACTGCAGGGGAGAAATCAAGAAGGGAGTCTTGTAGTAGCTCTTAGGACAAGATCACTCCATTGCTGAAAAGAAGTGAAGAGGATGACTTCAGACAAGGATGTTCAACTACCTATTTTCTTCCTGCTCTTCCTGTTAAGAAAGGGTCAGGAATATTGGGGAAAGCATGCAAAAATTCCTTTGGAAAGCAATTCATCCCTCCTAGCATCTACTTTTCACTCAGGATTTTGTTTTCCACAGTTACAGGGAGTCCTTGAATTACAACCACAATTGGGACTGGAATTTCGGTCAGTAAGCAATGCGGTTGTAAAGCAAGACATCACATGACTGCATTGCTTGGCAATCACACTCCCAGCAATTCCCCTTGCCATTGTTAACTGAATTCCACCAGTCATTAGCTGAGGACCCACCCCGATCCAAGCCATTCCGGGCTTGGTCCCTCCCTGCCCCGAGCCTCAGTAGGGTAAGGGACTGCCTCCAACTCCCCCACCCACCTATCTCCCCCCATCTCTGCCCTTTTGGCCACCCTGCACCTTGCCTTGCGGGGCGGCAAGCAGCCCCAGAACTGCGTGGTTCTGGGGTTGCAAGAAGCCCCCAGGCCACAGCCCAGCCACCCCAGGCTGCCCCAGTGAGCCTTCGTTCGCCCAGCTGCCCTCTCTCCCAGTTCCCTGCACCAGCCTTTCGCCTTTTTCACCCAGCCGCCATGATGCTGGCAAAAGGACGCCCTTTTATTTATACATCACATTTATATAGCCACTCATCTCATACAAAGCAACTCTGGGCAGTGTACAACAATTAAAATAACAAGTAAATAAAAGCAGTCATTACAAAAAGATAAAAAGTTATTATGAGAACAAAAACTGGGTCACAAATTTCAAAAAAGATTTTTAAAAGATTTTAAAATATACAAACCTCTCAGAGAGAGCAGAA